TTTTGTTTTGTTTTTTCTCGTTTGTGTGTTGTATAAACATTTTTAAAAATACATATAAGAATATAAAGTAATCAAAAAACAATATTGCTTTCCAAATACACATATAATATATAAGCAAGAAGACGAAGAATAAGAATAAGCGATAAAAAGTAATCAACAATAGTAAAGAGGGGCATCTATTTAGTGACTCGAGATAGTGAGCAATCTAACCCAAATTTTAAGAAACTTGATATGACCATTACTTTATTACGAAGTATATTTAGTGATTTCTTGACTCACTATGATTCCTAACAATTGCAATTGAAATCGTGTGATTCAGTGAAGGGGTACATATGGTACGTGTACGAACGAAGTTCCAAGAATATTTATTTGAATGTTGTTTTACACTTTGTAATTTTTAATCTTTCAATACTTATTCCGTCAAATAAAGCATATGAAGGACATTGTAATAATAATATTCATCCAAATATACTTAATCTCAAATAGTTGATTTGTTTCCAAACCATTGTCATTAACTTTTGATACATATAAAACACCATCTTCAGAATAAATTTAAAAAAAAAAAATCTGATATTTTATGAAAATAGGTATGACGATCGGAGAATACAGTGAATAAAATCGTTATATATATATATATATATATATATATATATATATATATATATATATATATATATATATATATATATATATATATATGGAATGATCAAATGAGAACACCTAAAAGATTGAGAACGCGAGAACAATTCTGAACCAATCAATATATAAGGGCATATTAGTAATTGTATATTTTAATTAAATTAAAATAAATAAAAATCAATCCAAATCCCTTAAATTTAGGACCAATTACCAAAAAAGAAATAAATATTCGATTTTGTATTTTTCTTATTAATGGGATATAAAAAAAACATTTTTACCAAAATTTATTTTAAAATTGAAAAAAAATAATTCTGTCAGATTTTTTTTGTCAGATTTTTTTTGTATTTTTCTTATTTGTAAATAGAATCGATTATATTTTTCTTATTTGTAAATAGAATCGATTATATTCTGTCAGATTTTTTTTGTTAGAATGATGCTCTTTCAGAATTTTATTCTATTAGAATATTTGTAACATCCCGGAAATTCAGAAGTAAAGTTGAAGGGCTAATAGTGTAAGTAAGAGGGTCAACTCGGCGAGTCGATGGATAGACTCGGCGAGTTGAGTCGCCTGTTAAGTGACCAACTCGGCGAGTCGCATGGGTGGACTCGGCGAGTTGGTGTTGTATGGGGAAAACCCTAATCCCGGGGGTTGAGTCCTATATAAAGAACATGATACCCTCTCCCCAGCCTCTTTACTTTCCCTTGAAGTCCAGAAACTCTAGCTTTCGGTTGTGAGAGAGTTGGAGAGCATATAGAGCCTTGGAGGAGGAAATCTTGGAGGGGAAGTGAAGAACAAGAAGGTTGGAGCAAGGGACTTTGCAGAGATTTAGCTTATTCTTCAGTTGGAGTTTTCATTTGAGGTCATAATCTAGTGTTTGAGCTTTTGTGCATCTAGATCTATCAAATTGTGGGGTTTTGTGGTATGAATGAGGTCCATCTCAAGTTTGGTGTAAGATCTGAGGTTGCTACCTCAGATCTAGGTGGTTAATGATCCAGAAAGCCATAAAGTCTATGCTCAAGAGTCGTTGGTGAAGTTCTTTTGTCCTAAACCCTAGCCCTAGAGTATATTATGCTTAGATCTCTTTGGATTCACGTAAAGTTTGCAACTTTACATGAGGAGTAGCTTGTGGAAGAGTAGATCTATGGATTGGAACCCCTGCATGGCTTGGAAACTCGGCGAGTCACATGGGTGTACTCAACGAGTTGCATGAAGATAGGAAGAAACTCGACGAGTTGGAAAAACAACTCGGCGAGTTGGTTGAAGATAGCCTTGGACTCGGCGAGTCTGTTCTTGGACTCGGCGAGTCTGGTCTTGAGGTCCTAGCCTTTTCTGGTTAAATTGAGAATCGGTGAGTCAAGGGATGACTCAGTGAGTTGAGATGGGATTTTTCAGAGTTGAGGGACTCGGCGAGTCAACGGGCTGACTCGGCGAGTAGGATCAGTCAGGAAGTTTGACTTTGACTGAGGACTTTGACTTTGACCAAGAGTTGACCAGTTGACTTCCAAGGGCATTTTGGTAATTATTGGTATTTATTGGGTTCAATCTTTTGGTATTATCAGGGGTGGAGTTCGTGTCGGACGTTGGAGCAGCGTGATCTTATCTTTTCAGTCAGCAGTTGCAAGGTGAGTTATCCTCACTATATCAACAGGGTCTAAGGCACCAAGGCCGACCCTTTATCGGATTGTAATCTGGGTATCGTGTTATGTTGTTGCTTTGCTATGTTTGCATCCTGGTAGTTAGGATGGCATATGTTAGAGACCTGGTTAAGGTCGGTATCCTGGTATATAGGATGATGCTATGCTAGTGACCGGTTAGGTCGATATTCTGTTTAGAGTATGTTATGTTATGTGATCTGCTAGATCGGTTTGATTGGATATGAATTGTTATATGATTGTATGTTTATGTGCACATGGTTGTTTGAATGGGGTTGGGTTGAGGCGAGTCCTGCTTTGTGTTGTAGGCCAACAAACCCAGGGCGAACCGGTTATCCCGAAGGCCCAGCGAGCGGTCCGGATAGGCTGTAGGCCCCATGAGGGCGGACCAGACGTGCCGAGGCTCGGAGAGTGGACCAGGTCGACTGAAGGCCCGATGCGGGCGGACCAGTCATACTGTAGACTCAGAGAGTGGACCAGGTGGGTTGAAGGCCCGATGCGGGCGGACCAACCACATTGCAGACTCAAGGGATATGGCTAGACTCGGAGGGGGGACCAGGTGGACTGAAGGCCCGGTACGGCGGACCAGTCACACAGCAGACCCGAAGTGCATGGCTATTCTGTTCGGTTATGATATGTTATGCGTGGTATATGTGGTTGGTATTTTGGGGGTATCTCACTAAGCTTTCGGGCTTACAGTTGTGGTTTAATGTTTTTCAGGTACTTTAGGAGACCGTGGCAAGGCGAAGGCGTGATCATACCGCTTCTCATGTTTATGTTTTACAATATGGTTCTGGGAAGACTCTGATAATAATTGTATTGAAAACCTTTTTTTGTAATAATTTAACGAAACTGGGTTGTTTTGGAAAAGTTTAAATTGGTTTGAATCTTTAGAGTGTTACAATATTATTGAAGAATAACAAAATTCTTAAATCCGAAGTTGAGAAATAAAAACATTCTAATATATTCTTATACATTAGAACTTAAATACAAATTCATACATATTCTTACAGACTAAAAGTCTTATACATTTTAATATAATTATACATATTCTAAAAGAATAATCCAACAAAATGAACAAAATTCTTAAAAGATAACAACATTATTAAAATGTGAGTATGATCAAATTTTATTCATTCTTTAAGTTTTTCCTATTAGGTCTTCAACACATTCTTCCTGCCATTCGTATCACAAATACAACAAATACTAATGATGATTAAAATATGAGAGAATACATAGAATATATTCTGGTAGAATACATAGGTTTTATTCTGCAAGAATATATTCTAACAGAATACGTAGAATACATAAAACTAAAAGCACAATTACAATTTGAAATTCTAAGAGAATGTGTATATGATATAGAATGTATATATTCTTGAGCCCAACAAACACCTTATGGTTCCTAAATTGTATGAACAACACTTTAAGTTGTATGTAACAGAATATTAGGATTCTTGAATACCAGAGTGCAATAATATACATATTGTACCAACCGGAAAATTTAGGTCAAACAAAGTCAACAGGTCAACGCAGTCAACTCGACTTGTACTAAGACATTAAGGTTTAAAGTTTTGTTTCCTGATGTATGTCTTACAATTATAATACAAAGTATATATCTCTCTCCCATACCTCTCTCTACCTCAAATCCCTCCCAAATATCTCTCACTATCTCAAATCTCTCTATGTATCTCAAATCTCTACCAAATATCTCTCTATATCTCAAATATCTCTCAAATCTCTCTTGATAACAAAAAACACACTTCTCACCACGGAACCTCCTGATCTCGAAACCTTCTGACTCCGGAACTTCTAAGTGACTCCAGAACCCTCTCTTACCATTCCGAAGCCTCTGACTTCAGACCTCCTAAAGGAACTGAACAATCTCGCGACTTCGGACCAAAAGCCTTCGTTACCTCGGAAGGAACCCACTCCAGAAATGAGCTCACTTCGCAACCCTCGACTCTGGAATCTACTGTTCGACTCCGGAACATGAAGAATGACTTCGGAACTCATGGTTTGACTCCGAAATTTGAAGGCTGGTTCCGAAAATCACTGCTTGACTTCGGAAATTGCTATGTGACTCCGGATTTTAGACTGTTTCGGACCTTTTCGTCATTTGAAGACATTTTGACGTTGGGAATTCCATCAAACTTGTATTTTCCGTAATTTAGACCCTCGAAACTCCTATTTTATGTCAGTTCAAAGGTTAAAACATATGTGCATAATATAATATCTATAATTTAAAGATATTATATTATTTTAATCATAAAGTGACGTTGGCCAAATAATGAAGATAATAAGGTTTGACTTTATGAAATGATGTTCCACCATTTTCCCATGCAAGTATTACCCAACAGTATCCCATGAAATACCCAACAGATCACAATGAAAATATCAACTCACTATACATCCTTACATTAAGAATAAATCCACCTTGAATCATTCCACCACTTTCATTTCTATTTCCTCTCTTACACCAAATACTCTCAAGAACCAAAACAATATATCTTTCAAGTTCAAAATTCTTCAAGTGTGTTCTTAACCTTGTGGTAAGCATTTTCGTGATCCTCTAGTACTCATATACATTTTTATGTTGGTTTCATCATATTTACACACACATTAAAAATGTGTTAAACCCCTAGGATAACATTATTCTCAAGGAAATTATCAACTCCAATTAAGCGTTTAAGCTTGAAAACATCTCAATGTCTCTTCAAAACAACCAACAAAACCACTCAGGTGAGTTCATACCCCTACATTTTCATGTTTTCTTCAAGTTTTTTTTTTTTTTTGGGGGGGGGGGGGTGGGGGTTACAAGTTACAACACCAAAACATAATCTAAACTTAAACATCAGCTTTCAACAGAAAAGTTATGGTTTATTTACTTTGAGCATGGTCTGTTTCTATTAGGGAAATATGGGTAGAGCTCATTGGATAGCGGTCAAGAATATACTCAAGTATTTATGAAGGACTAAGGACTGGGTCCTTGTACTTGGTGGCAATGATATTTTGAGAGTAGATGGTTACAGTGATGCCAGTTTTCAAACGGATAGAGATAACTTCCTTTCTTAATCTGGATGGGTATTTCTACTGAACGAAGGAGCAGTTACTTGGAAAAGTTCCAAGCAAGATACAATGGTTGATTCTACTTGTGAATCAGATTACATAGCAGCAAGTGAAGCGTCGAAAGAAGCAGCTTGGTTGAGGAACTTCATCAGAGATCTCAGAGTTGTTCCAACCATCCAGGAACCTATGGAACTGTTCTGCGATAATGAAGAAGCGGTTTCCTTAACAAAGGAACCCAGAGATCATGGTAAAACCAAACATATCGACAAAAAGTACCACTTCATACGACATAGAGTAGAAGAAGGCTATCTTGTCGTAAAGAGGGTATCATCTGAGGATAACCCAACATACCCCCTCACAAAGGGTCTGAGTAGGGTTAAGCATATTCAGCATGCTCGAAGCATTGGACTGAGAGATGATATTAGTTTTAGAAGTTAGATTATTTTGATTATGAAACTTGTAACAAACTAAATGTAATTGACTTTTGGTGATTAATTAATAAAGTATTATTTATGAGTCGTTCATACTTTTGGAAGTAAGTAATGAATTAAGACTATCATGAATTGGATTGCAGATTGTCTAAGGATAGACATAGTAATAGAACTGTTGCAATATTCATGAGTACTTAGAAATTGAGATGCGAGTATTGGATAAACCCTCGCTCAGAGTATTACTTCATGGAATTCATCACGAGTAATATTAAGACGATAATATCTTATAATCTTGAAACGGAGATATAATAGTTATAATTTGCAAGTCAGTTATACATTGGTGATACGAAAACGCATCGGTGACTTGGTGTTATAAAACGTATTGTCATGTATAGTTTTATGAGTAAAAGATCCAAGCATATGAGTCAACGTTTATTCGTTCCTTTTTCCCAAACGGGAAAAGCGACATCTGTGCACCACTTGATGATTTGGTGTTGACTTATGTGAAGGGCCCAGCCAGGACTAAATTTATATGTTCAATTAAAGTCCTATATCATCACAAATCAGAAATCGGGAAACATAGTAATTGTACAAAGAGATTAATTACATTCCATGTCTTATGTCTAAGGATATCTTGTAGAATGAAGGATTATATGATCACTTATCTTAGGACATGTTACTGATTGGATCAGAGTTCGGCAGCAGCTTTTGGAAGCTACAATTTGCTGGTCGATTTAGAAGTCATACTAGCAATTATAGTTACAGACTTATCCAAATGGGAGACTATTAGATTAGGTGTCTAAGCCCATAACTATAGTTGGTATGTACTTGAATTGATAGCAACACAGTCCTTTTGGGTTGCCTCAAACCTAACAATTGGATAAGGAAATTATGAAAGGAGAGATATTTATTTATTATAAGATTAATAAATTAATATAAATGGTTTATTAATATGTTAAAAGATTAATATGTTAATTAGAAGTCAAAAGTTTTAATTAATGGTTAGCCAGAAATTAATTGGAATTGATTTTGAGGTTAATTATATTAATTATAAAGTACAAGTAATAGTTTGCAATTATCAAATAGTTGAGTGGAAGGTTCCAAAACCTCTTTGGAAGGGGGTGGATGAAATCTATAGGGGAAACCCTAATGATTTCATCTAAGGGGTTTGGATAAGAGCTTTGGATAAGCGTAATCCCTAAGCAAAGGAACATTAGGGTTTTCCTTAAACCCTAGCTACCTCAGCTATATAAGGAGCCTCCTGGTTCCCAAAATCGGCACTCTTTCTCTTGAAGAAACCCTAGGCCGAAAATTACATACCCTAGCCTCTCCCCTCATAATTTTCCGTCTTGCTAGCTCTTGGTGTGATTCCATTAGATGCATTGTATTTGTGGTGCTAAGCTTCCAAGACGATCAAGATCAAAGGAGTATCAACTATTTTCTACAACAATTATAAGGTATGTAACTGTAAAAACCTAATTGGTTAATTTCACAAATAGTCTCCTCTCTTAGGGTTCTTGTTTTTCAATTCAAAGTTATATGTTCAGTAGTTAAAACATAGATCTAAAGTAGGTTGCATGTGATCTTAGGAATTTTTTCTAGTTTATTTGTTTTACCTAAAACCTATCAGATCAAAGCCTATTTCATGTCGAAGACTTCCTAACTGATGAGGAAACTTTTTCCTCTGGAAGTTCTTCTACCCCACTACCTCTAGAGCACGATTCTGCATCTATCAAGCTAGCCAAGTTACTTGCTTTTCAAGACTCTATTCCCCAGTCAAAAGAAAAGGGAATATATATTGGCTTTGGGCAAAGAGGTGATGAAGACTCTCAACAAACTATTTCTGAGCTAAAACAAGAGATCGTGATTTTGAAGCAGGAGTGCATTCAGAAGGATTTGTTGATTGGTAATTTGGATGTGAGAGTTTCTGAACTTGAAAAGGAAAATTCTCAAAAGAGTAAGCAGATTTAAGACCTTCAAGCCAATCTTAGCGGGCTGACAACTCTATTTTGTTCTCAAGGAAAATTTAATTGTACAATTTGGTGACGAGTTTAAGACTTCAAGTTCTTATCTTGGAATAGCTTTAGAGACATTTGAAAGAGTCGAGGTTCGTCCTGCCCCAGATTCTAACCTTGATCAAATTTTGTCTTCTGGCCCTGCCACAGCTGAAGAAAGAAAGGAGAAGTAGAGAAAAGTTGACAAAAAGGAAAGGCAAAATGTTTCTGGTGAAAAACTCTGATCAGAATGCACCTGGTGATCACCCAAACATGTTTATCAAAGAAATTGGTAAAAGAAATTTTGCTGACAGATATGGTGATCGTTCTAGAATTCATATGTGGGGATATGAAGCTGATAAGAAGATGTAGATTGTAACGCAAAAGAGCGGAAACATTGAGTACTATGTGAATATGGTTGACTCTGTGTCTTGGACAAAAGTTAATCTTACAGAGTTGGTGCACGCACCGTTCCACAATCCAACAAATGATCCTATGGCATGGGCAATTAAGAAATTCCTGGAAGACAAAGCGAAGCAGAACTTTAAAGGCTTGAAAACAGCATCATCATTCGTCAAAAAGGTCATGGGTGTCATTGATCCCAACACCAACAAGACTATGGTGAATGTTATGTGGCCGCCTACAAATAAAGTGAAAAGAATCCCTATTACTCTGCGTATACATGATGCCACTTTGAATGATTTACTATATTGGGTATATGATGAGGCTGCAACGTCTGTTGTACTCAAATTGAAAAAGGATCATATTCGTCTTGTTGATCCTAGGGATTTGCTGAAGTTTGGAGAGCATGACATTCATATTTTATCCAGACGTCAGCTTATGGTGGAAAATGAAATGTTTTTACAACTAACGTGACCTCTCGGGTGTATAACAACAATTTTGTAATTAACGCTACTTTAATAATAAAAATATATACAATTAACAATACGTGAATTATATTTTTTGTAATTAATGATATATATATATATATATATATATATATTATATATATATATATTAATTAATTAATTAAAGGAGCATTAATTATATAAACTATATTTGGTTCACCGGTAAGATACATGCATATAGCTGATGATTTCGAGTTCGTTTATCCTTCTCACCAATCTTTTTATTTTTTTTCAGAAGACGTTAACATGTTATGTCAGATCTCTTTTAAAAAATATTGTATGTCACGTCAAAAAAAATTCACATACAATGTGAATCGAAAAAAATAGAAGTAAAACATCGAAGAACAAGTTACTATGAGGTAAATCGAAAAAATAAATAATACCTAGTATAAATCGGCAAAACATAGAAAAATTGGAAATTTAATGATTTGTTTTTTTTATGAATTTCATTTAAAAAAAAAAGCCTCGAAAACCTACAATAAAATCTAAAGATGATAAAATTAGAAAGTTGAATACAGTTATTACTAGTAAAAACCCGTAAAAAAAATTAAGTTATAAAAATAAGAGTTATTATTTATTTTTTTACAATATTCCTTAAAAGAATCCACATTATTATATATTTTTGTAAAAATATGTAATGCTACATTAATAAATAAAAACTTAAATCCAAATTTTTTATTCAAATTCAAACTTTATGCATTTAAACCGAAAAACCAAATAATCAACGGGACCAGGATTTGTAGGGCTGTAGTCCAGTACCCTTCCGCACATGGCGAACAACATAATCCATTAACCCATGTAAATATCAAGTACCCTAGGGGCAATATTGTCAATTTACAAATTACTACCCCTATAAAACCAACTTCTCTTTTTTTAACGGAAACCCAAACAGAAAACTCATACACAACAACTACACCCAAAAAAACGAAACGCTCCCTCCGACTCCGACGTCAAGATGTCACCGGCGATCGAGAAGTCAAGCAGGATCCACCACATTGTCAGAGTCCGCCAGATGCTCCGCCGTTGGCGCCGTCGATCCTCTTCATCTTCACGGCGGTGCATCGCAAGTGATGTGCCGGCTGGACACGTAGCGATCTGCGTCGGAATCAATTGCAGAAGGTTCATCGTGCGAGCGACGTACTTGAATCATCCGATTTTCCAAAAGCTTCTGATGGATGCCGAAGAAGAATACGGTTTCACAAACATCGGTCCGTTGACGATTCCGTGTGAAGAATCGGAGTTCGAAGAGATCCTCCGGTTCATATCTCGACCGGAAGTCGGTAACAACAAAAAATCGAGTCGTCACGTAAATCTCGAGGATTTTCAGAGGTGCTGCCACGTGGATTACGTAGGTGAATCTAAGCCGCTCCTCCATGGATCAGTGTATTAGAATGTAAAACTGAAATATACGTAGCGAGTTAGTCAATGAGTCAACTCGGTTTGAGTTTGATAATCTAACTACTATTCTAAATTTTTTCCAGAGTAGAAGTAGTTAGGATTAGTTTCAAATACTTTTCACCTGTGTTGTGTGTGATTGTTTTTTGTTTGGGAGATTGGCGAAGATGAGTTGTAACTTGACTCAGTCCGAGTCGTCCCGAGTTGAAAAAAGTAGATGACATTAATCGGACATTATTACTTTGTTACTTTTATATCTTAATTATGTTATTATCAAATAATTTTAGTCATTTATTCTTTCTTCCCTTTTTAATCCGTCGCTAATTTTTTAATGATATTTATATTACATCAAGGAAAAGTGGAAACCACTCAAATATCATTCTTTTTGATATTTATAATAAGTTCTTAAAGAAATAAGAGAAAAATCATCATTGCTTAAATACGAATGGTGTTCATTGTTCAATGCCACTCACTATCAATGATAGAGATTTAAAAAAAGAAAAAAGGTCTAGCAAGTAAGTGTGGGGCTGTCATCCGTTTAATGTTTATGAAAAGTCATCAACTTTATTAGTGCAAAATCATAAATTAAATAATCTTGTCCTTTTAAATCATTTTCAACATAAGAATGGCCATCATTTATTAAGACATAAAAAAATAAAAAGTATATATAAATTAGGCACAGTATCAAACATCAAATATGGATTGAAGATGTTGTGATTGCTAGAAAGTAAATCATGGTTCATACATATCAAAGAGAGAAGTATGGATATGAAGGAGATGTATAGTAAGTATGAGATTTTAAGTTAAAGGATAAATATTGAGGTATTTAAACTTCTTTTAACCATTTTGATCAAATAATATATTGCGTAGAGGGCTTTACTGGAATCTTTACAATGAGAATCAATCATGGTGGGATCTTCACCAACAAGTTTGGAAGAAAGTATGTGGATGGAAGGGTGGATTATGTTGATAATGTCGATTAAGGAGAGTTATCTAGAGGTGGGTTCAAAAATGTTTTGACCATTAGATCAATTTAGGATAAAAAGAGTATGATGATAAAACAATAATTTAATTTAAACAAAATAAAATAATAGTTTATTAATTGTATTCTTAAGAGCATTTTCAGGTTATTTTATAGTTTATTATTATTCATTTTTTTTAAATGAGCACTTAATGTCATTGGAAATGAATGCTTTTTTGCTTTTTTATTTTGACCACTCAATAAATATTGAGTGGTCAATATAGTTTCACAACTTGAAAAATATTAATCCCTTCTATTTTAGCAATATTTCAATTTAGTCCTTTCACAATAACTTAGTTTTAAATATTTTTTATTTTCTTACTAATTAAATATTTAATAACATATTATTTATAAAATATAGTTTTTGTGATGATAATATATTATTTTCAGTGTGTTTTATTTTATTTTTGAACTATAATATAATATTATTTTTCTTATTTTATTTTCATAAATAATGAATCAATATATTATTATTTATATATTCATATTAAATATTTTATTTTGGTTAAAAATAGATTACCTAAACGTGAAGGTTTTATAAAATATTTTAGAAAGATAAGGATAAAATAGTTAAATTTATCAAAAAAAAAAAAAAAAAAAAAAAAAAAAAAAAAAAAAAAAAAAAAAAAAAAACTATTAAATAAGTTTACCATTGGAGTAGTGCTTTATGTATAGATCAATATTAATGGAATTATGAGATGATACTTAGGTATTGTTTATTTTATTTTTAAAAAAAAAAACCACTTCAGACCACTTATTGCTGCGCCGTGCAGCACACGCGCAACACTTGACCTTTCACAAGTGTTAGTTTTCCTGAAGACTTTTGACTTAAAAACTGTTGCGCGTGTGCTGCGTGGCGCAACACTAAACCAACTGCTTCAAACCTCTTCGTACCTTACTTTAACTTACTGCAGCAGTCTGCTGACGTTAAAAAACAAACAAACTTTTTATTAAATGTTACAGCCTTTTATTCCACCTCTTCTGCTATAGAGGATTACAAAAGTGGTCCACAGACTTAAAACATTTTCGCTTCGAAAAACAAAAAACACCTTATTTGTAGTATAACCATTAAATATGCTTTAAGTGTAGCATTTATTTGAAATCAAACTTAACATAACATGAATAAAAAATTCAAGCATCAATTATAATAAAAATTTCTAATAGCATGAATCAACAAAAGAAAAAAACAACCATTAAAAATCTAATTAGGATTAATGTTCATTGGTGAATAATGATGATTAATGTTCATCTAAATATATGAACATTCATAAATATTCATAATCGAACATATAAGAATGTTATGATCATATATGAATATTGTTCATACGTGAACAATGATGATTAATGTTCATATGTGAATATTGATGTTTAATATTCATGAATTTTTATAATTGAACATATATAAAGTTTATGATAAAAAATAAATATCAATTATATGTATTTTATCATGTTAATCTGTAAACATATGTTTATAGATGAATATGTGTTCATGGATGAATATTGTCTCCAAAAACCCCAAAATTAGTCACGGGCATACATATGAACAAAACAATTATTCTTTAAAATTAAACAAATCATGTATGAATATTTAATAATGAACATGTATAAATTTCAACAATGAAAACTACGATTAAGTGACAAACCATTAAACCTAAAAATCAAACATTCATAATCAGCAAATTCCACTATTTTTCTTCAATCCTAATAAATAAAATCTCCATATTTTTGTTTTTGAGTGCTTTTAAAACCTTGTCAAATGTGCCTGTTTTTGTTTGATTCTTGGAATCTTTTGAGCTTGATTTTACTTTTTATTGATCATCTCGTCTACAACAAATAAGCTAAAAGTTAGAAAATTAAATCGATTAAAAACATTTGTTAGCTCTCCAATTACGTAATTTCCGTAAATATGCCAAAAATCACATATATTAAATTTTTACAATCTTTCTATTTTAATTAAAAGCTCCGAATCTAATACGATCAAAATAAAGCATTATAATTAAAAGTAGAATTACAATCAAAACGTCAAACAGAAGATGAAATTGTATTAAAATTAGGGTTACACATACCTAGAAACAATATTACCAAATTTCCTACATTATGAAAATGTCTCCATGATCCAAATCTATCAAATTAATATGTCAAAGTATTACCAAAGATAATTATACTAAAACAATATTAATTCAAAATAAATAATATTTTACCTTAAAAGCATACATAAATCCATGCACGATATATGTCTGTATGTGCCATGCTCTTGGATGGGTGTAGTGAATATGTTGCTTAGTTTCGTTAAATACAATCAACATTTGTTTGAACATGCAATCTCAAACTATCGTATGCATGAGTATTTATGGCAAAAAATAAGTTGATGAATCAGACAAAAAATATAATAAATTGCAACTACCTTAAACTAAAATAAATGGTAGGTGAGCAAACCGAATACAAGTGTAAGGAAATTTGTCCTTCATGAGTTGATAGGAGTATCTGCCAGTAGCGGAGCTAGACGGGGCGTTGGGGGTACTACAGTACCCCAAAAAATTATATATATATAT